GGATTATTGGGCCGTGCATTATCGGGTCGTACATTATAGGGACCCGTGCATTATCGTGGCTGTACATTATTGCCTCCCTTCGTTCGCATGTAATAAATTTTTTTGTGCAACGAGTAGCTAAAAAGTCAAAATTATGGATGAAAGTGAGTTACGTGCGGTGATAAAATATCTCAGTTTGAAAAAAATGTCTACGAAGGAAAGTTTTTGCATATTCAGCAGACATTAGGGGGTGATGCTGTACCCTATTCTACTGTTGCGTACTGGGTGGCTGAATTTAAAGAGGTAGATGAATTTAGAAGATGACCCACGTTCTGGGCGGCCTTCAACCTCCGTTACAGAAGAAAATGTCAAAAAGGTTGAGAATCTGGTTTTGGAAGACAGAAGAATGACTATAAAACATATAGCTGAGATCCTAAAGATATCTTTTGGTAGCGTTCAATCCATTTTAATTGATTCACTGGGGTTCAAAAAAGTGTCTGCAAGATGGGTGCCATGAATGTTAACCGACGAAAACAAAAAGCGACGTTTGGAAATTTCCAAGTGTAATCTCGAAATGTTCCAGCGTGATTCGGATAATTTTTGCCGTCGTCTTGTCACCATGGATGAAACGTGGGTCCACCATTTTGATCCTGAAACTAAAAGACAAAGCATGTCTTGGAAACGGCCATCCTCTCCATCCATCAAGAAATTTCGAGTTGCTCCTACCGCTGGCTAAGTTATGGCCTCTGTGTTCTGGGATAGTGAAGGAATCCTTTTTATTGATTACGTGCCAAAAGGCCAGACGATTACTGGACCCTATTATGCAAATTTAATCCCGAAAGTGCGTGAAGCGATTAAAGAAAAACGTCGTGGAAAACTCGTTGGGCGTGTTGTTCCTTCAAGATAACGCTCCTGCTCATCGATCGGAAGTTGCGCTCAACGCAATCCGCTGTGCTGGCTTCAATCTCCTTGACCACCCACCATATTCTCCGGACTTAGCCCCAAGTGATTTTCACTTATTTCCGAAATTAAAAGAGGAAATTTGTGGAACAAAATTTCACGATAATGACGCGGTTATAGCTGCCGTAGAGGACTTTTACGAGAGTCAAGAAAATAATATTTTTTCACAAGGAATATGGAAGTTAGAAACGCGTTATTCGAAATGCATTGCATTGGAGGGAGATTATGTAGAAAAATAAAATATTATTATTTAAATCATTGCATTTTTTAATATTGATTCCAAGAATTTTTTGGTTCACCCTCGTAATATAAAAGTAATAATATAAGTAACAAAGAAATCTAATTACTTAATTTAAAACATATCATCATGTCCCAGATCTGCTAATAAATTTAATCCTCTTTCTTTTAATGCCTTTGACAACAATTTCTGTTGTTCTATTTTTGCATCTTGCTCCCGTCTTTGAGCATCAAGTATATCATCTACCGACACTTCTGTTAATGGCAAGTTATCTTCTTTGTCTTTGTCCTGAAAAAAAAACTGATCACTATCAACTACCAAAAAAAAAACTATAAAATATAAGGCCACAATGTACTATAACAACTTAATAAATATTATCAAACAATTTAATTAGACAAGCTAATGTTAAGAAACTTACAATTTCTCCTAAAAGTACTACGTTTTCACCTCTTACTATAAATATTCCGCGCGGTATATCTCCGTATTCCTTTCCAACATGAATCCTTTCAATGGTTTTATGTAAAACAAGGTTTGCGAATTGATCAACACATCGTAGATATCCAATTAGAGTTCTGCCATCTCGTAGAAGTACCATGAGTTTTTCTTTATGAAACAAGGACCATTAACGTGAAATAATTTTAAATAATTTGTATAAATATAAGTATAAAAAACGTACTATCCAATTCATCAAGTAGATGCGCTGTGCCGACTAAAGGATTAACATTATTTGACATCTCGCTATTTACTTGGAACTAAGTATTTTATATTGAACCGACGAGGAATCTATCCCCAATGAACGAAAACTGTATGGCAAATGTATAAACAATTAACATGAAAACAAACAAACACGCAAATCGAATTAGGTCAGATAAATGAGTGTCAATTTGACACTGACAGAATTTGACAAATTGGGTTTTGAGTTTGACAAAAACAATAAAAACAGATTATACTAACGTTACTAGTGTTGTAAAACTGGTCCTTTTTAAAGACCCTGTAACATATTAAACCAATTTCTTTGAAATATTTTCCAAGTAATTTATTAAGAAATTTCATTAAATTACAAGACTTGTGAAAGACACTGTTAATTGAAAAAAGTGTTTTTAATTTGCGTGGTTAGTGACACGTTATACATACTTTTGGTAATCAAAAAATAGGCTCGATGACAGTTTTGGTATAATCAGATAACTCAGCAAATTGGTACAACATAGCAGCGAATTCTGGCACAACACTAATTCCACTCATTGTGTTCTGTCACCTAAACTTTATTTTTTGTTCGTGCGATGCATTTCGTTTTAAATATCGACAGAACTTAAAAGTTTTTTGACTAATTGCTATGCTTTATAGTTGCAATAGATTTGAATATTATTGAGTACAAATTAAATAAGTTGGAAACATCATGATGGAGCAGGACGACGAGATAAAATCCGGTTGTTTATTATTTCCTCCAGCCGGAGGAAACATGTTCAGTAAATTTCCTAAGAAGGTAAAATATACAATAACAATTATTAGGATAAATTTATGTAACTCAATGTGAATAGTATAACCTTATTTAGATTTAAGGTAGACAGTATTTAAATAACTAATAAAAACTGCACACGCTTTCTAAATGAGTCAGGGAAGGGTAGATTGTACTAAACTTGTTTGGTTGCGTGTGCACTATGTAGTTACTAATAAATACAACGAAAATAAATAGACAAATTAAAACAACTAAAAATATAGTAAAAATTCATTATTAAAGTTGTCTGCAGTAAATGTTTTATATTTTATTTTGGATACAGTCTTTTTGCTTGTCATAATTCTTGACCAATGTTAAAGCACTTTAATTAACATTACAAATAAATTTGTGTTAATTTAGAATGTTAAACCAAGTAAAGTATAAATAGCTAACAGATATGCTTACTGTGGTAGAACTCAAAAGAACTTTCTATTTTCCTATTAATATTGGTTTTGATATATTTTCATGCGTTTCTAATACATATGTATAAAATAATTGTGTAATCAAGTAAAGAATTAATATGTTGGCAAAGAATCAGGGAAATAGAGTCTACAGTGTAGACTAGACATTTTTACCTTAAACAACACTTTTATTAATTTAATAATTTTTAATTTCCAGAAAAATTGGCAACAAAAACACTGTATACTCTACAATGCCAGCAAACAAGGCATTGAAAGATTGGAAATATACGACAACAAGGAAGATGTTACAGCAGGATCTATTCCTAAGATTATAACACTTGAAAATTGCATAAAAATTACACATTCTAGTCCAAATACTATTACTATATTAACTAAGTCACATACTCAACAGATCAGTGCTCAATCAGAAATGGAAACCTTAGAATGGGTCTCAGCTTTACAGTCAGTGGCCTTTAAAAACTCTGATTCTATGCCAATAAGTTGTGATGAAGATAATGACCTATATTGTTCATCAGGTGAAGGAGTGTTTTCTGTCAAAATGTGCTCTTCCGATGCATCAATAAGATGCGGTTTAGAGCCAATTAGATACCTTTTACTTCTTACTTCAACCGCAATAGATCTTCGAGATGTAAATGATAATAAATTATATGCCACTTGGCCATATAGGTACATAAGAAGGTATGGTTATAGACAGGGTAAATTTACCTTTGAAGCTGGCAGGAAATGTGATACTGGGGAAGGTATTTTCCATCTAGAACATCCTAACCAATCAGAAATTTTTAAATGTCTGTCATTAAAAATGAAGACAATGAAGCAATCGATTGGTAATGATAATTTAAACAGTCCGGAACATACTGAGTTTAATATTCAACCAAGTGTGAACTTATTCCCCGGTTCTCGGAGCCCTTTGGTTGCTGCAAGGCCAGAAGAATTGAATTTAAGCTCTTTATCATTTAAAACAAATTCAGCATCAAGTCAACAATCTTCTACGTCAGATACGGCGCCTTTACTGATGCCTAAACCAGCTCTGAAACCGAAACCACAGAAGCCTCCGCGAAAGATTATAAACATACACAAACCAATCAAGGATCCCTTGTCATCAACAGATGACAGTATAGATTTTGGCAGATACAAAAAACTTGAAAATTTTGAGACACTTGAATCCAAGACTCAATTGCCATCAGTCCCTTATGATAAAGTCGAAGTTCGTAGTGAGGCTTGGAAACAATTTGGTATCGACGATCCAGATCATACCGAATTTACACCTAATTTGGCCGACAGTCCTAATTGTATGAAACTTATTTCAAGATCGCAAGATAATTTAAACAGCAATGGTCCTGAATCTTCCCGAATCATTCTTTTACCGTTGAGTCCGGAAGACGAGAATTATGACAGGCTGCAGTATTTTGGCTCTACAAGTAAACTTAACAAGTCTTCGAGATATAAAAAAGTTGAAGCACGTCCTACAACGCTTGCGATCAACGAGTCAAAGAATAAAGATACTTGGAATGATTATGATGAAGTTGAGAATGTTATGCAGACAGCGCGATTGGCTGATGATTCTCATTTGGGATATGGTATGATACGGAAACCGAATACTCCTGGACCTCAGGTACCTACTGCGGCACAAGCTCAAGCTTTACAGAATCAAGTTTCCTTGGAGGACATCAATGGTAATTGTAATGGAGCGGAGTATGCAGTGATAAGCCGTCCTAAAAGGGTATGAAATTCAATTACGATTATATGATAGAAGACTGAAATTTTACTTGAAATTTATCATTATAAGAGAGTGAAATTAGGTAAAATTAATATTGGCATGTGAAACAACTCTCAAAAGTATTATGAATAATATTTTATAGTTAAGTTTATTTTCTAGGAGTAATTAAAAATCATGATTTTTTTGTACTAACCATCGTAGGGCTAATTTCTTTTTTATGAATTGTAACCATTTTAAAATCTTTAGGTACTTTAGCATTCCTTAAGCTTAAATGTTGATCTAATTTCTCTTAGTAATAACTTTTTACAAGCGATTTTATGAATTCAATAGGTTTTTTTTACTATGTAGTATATTAACAAGTGTATAGTTGAACACCCTGTAATCTTGATAGAGATTTGTATTGTGGCTTCAATTTTTTTTTAAATGTTTTACACAATGAAAGGATAGCATTTTATCTCAAAAAATCTCATTGGAGAAGCGAATTTCCAAATTAAATCATAAACTTAAAACAAAGATAATAGTAAGAATATAGTCATTAAAAAGATGAGGTAACAAATTTCCACAAGTTGCATAGAAATTAATATAACCTCAAGCAACCTCTTGCTCAAGGAACCTTCCATCTTGTTTTTTGTATTTTGACAACTTCAATTTCTTACAATTTCGTTTAGTAACAGATGGTTTTTAAATGTGCCATTTTTTGAGGTACATTATTGAACAATTGTTCAAGTTGTAGGTGCTTCATAAAATAATGAAAAGTATAAGAATTTATTAAAAAGTTACTTAGTTTAATTTTTATGTGTGTTTCATGAAATAATACTTTTAGGTTACAAATATTTTCCATTTTAACCATTCCATTGTAGACAAATTTTAATAGTCTGTTTCTAGTATTATGTATAGTATGTTATTATAAATAATGCTTTTTGATATATTATTATTTTAACATGATGAAGTTAGTCTGAAATTAGAAGACATGTCACATTCCATTTTATACAGTGGGTATTTCAAATATTTTATAACAATCATTGACAGCACTATATTTTGTTATTATCCCAGTCTGCATATCTGCTTCATAAATCTTCAAAGTAATTTTAGCACCACTATACGGAAGCAATTGTGAATCTATACTTTGCTAAAATTTACCACAATGAATGAAATTACAAAATTAAATGAGTCCAGTACAATGACCTTTGTAAATGGACATTTTTGTGCCTATTTGATTTTCATCATCTAGGTGTTGATGAGATCTAGGTGAGATTTGGACCTATTAAAAATGGAATTTACAGTCATTAACATAAACGAGCGCATTTAGATAGAATGAATCAAAAGCTATCACTTCTTTATAAAGACCTATCCTTTTTATACAGATCATTGGTTTCATAGTTAAAGAGATATACAAATTAAAAGAGTAAAATTAGGTTGTTATATTGTTTAAACACCGTAATGTTGTTAAGAATTTATGATAATTGTACTTTAACTGTTTTAAATGGAATAGGAATATATGGCATTCCAGCACAAACTATGTTTAGGAATTCTCAATATATCCAGCTGTGATTATGCAGTGCCTAATATTTTTCAATGTTAATTACATGATTTAAGCATATAATTGTTATGTGAGAATTGGTATATAAAAGTGTGAAACAATAAACATTGATAACATTTTTTTTTAGTTACCAATTAGAATTAAATGGCTTTAAAGCTGGCTGTTGTATTGCATCAATTCACACATAACAATAGAATATTTTTATGATTAATGTTTGGTGCCAATATAGCAGTACAATAGTTTAAGACCATGTTACGACCTATGTAATCTAAATTCATTATGTATTACATAATCAAAGTTGTATAAAGGACATTGTTCTAGTTTTTTTGATGAGTTCACTGACATTTTTAAATAAAATTTATAAGACAATATAGACATTATTAAAACTTTATAGAATGACATAAGTGGATTAGTCAATTGAATGGTTTACTTTTTCAATTACATTTTTGCCATTTTTAATATTACTAATAATGTAATAGCGTTGTTGGCACAAGTTTCTATGGATGATTTTAAAATTTTGAATCTCTTTAGATAAATATATCGTGTACTTTTAACTAATATTTTTTTAATTCCTAATCTTACACTTTTAAAGTAAAGTTTTTTTTTGCTGCAAAACATGTTAAAGTTGACATAAAAAGTCTTTTGTGCAAAAAAGAATAAAACATATACATTGACATTTGGAGAAGTGATGTCAAAAATTAATGAAAACAGAGATGTCATGGAGTAAAATTAATAAACTGTGTTTAAACTCTGCTATTTACATTTAATCATATTAAAACTAAGATATATGTCCTTTATAAGGTTTCTACAATGAAATATATTTTTATTTATGTTATGTTTATTTTGATCCTTTCTGTTAAATTGCGACATACTTTTTATATTTGTAATTTAGGTCAGCCATATTATGAAATAAAGTCATTTAATCAATAATGTTCAATTATTTTTTAAGGTTGGTTCCTTTCTAAATTGCGAAAAATACAAGTTAACACTCCTAAGGTGTCATACTGTTACCTTATGATAAAATGGCTTGTACTCCAAATGGTTGTAACCTTTTCAATGCCACTACTTTCGTATACAAAAGTAATGCCTGGTTTAGATGTAGACAGCACAGTAGGGCAATAACAATTGCTTCCTATTATTATAGTGTTCTATAATTGAAATGCCATAATCAGAACACTAACTGGCATCAGTGAGAATACAATTGCCGGGCTTGCACTATTGTACAAGTGTGAACCAGGCATCACTACTATGCCAGTTGGTTGCAGTGAAAGTGTTAACTTGTACTAAAAAACATTTTTGTGTTTAATAATTCTAATTTAAAACATATAAAAAATAACACATATGATCGATTCATTATTTTTATTAACTATATTTACATAACTTTTCCAACTAGAATATTAAATCTTACAATTAATAAAATAAAGATGGTTTATTTCAGCTTTCTAATGCAGGTATTTCTTTCTGTTCTTCTTTATGTGCTTTAAGAATAAATTCCAAGTCTTCAGACATAATTTTCTGTACAACCTCTCCCTTTTCTGCCATAATATCTTCTATGTTCTTCTTTCCATTCATATCGGTAAACCAATTTAGGTTATCTGCTATAAGATGTTTGTTTTCACACCCATCACAGGTAATTATAACTACACCTTTGTAATATGCTAATTTTGTTATAAATTTAGAATTTCTATGATTACAAATCTTACATGTGAACATTATTTGAAATTTTCCTTCATATTTCTTTTGTTCTGGCTTGTTAAGATCTGGAAGTGAGTTTGTAGTAGTTGCGAATGTTCTTTTTGATTCCAATGTTGTGATTGATGAACATAACGGCATTTGTCTATATACATGCCTTCCTAAAGTCGAATCTCCATTAGATCGTAAAATTATGTTGGTAAATATTCTTGGCTTATGAAACTTTGCTAAAAAGTTAACAACAGTTCTGTAAGACATTTCAACCTAATTTTGAAAAGGAGTAAAGTCCCACAAATCTATGCTATAAGTGAACTTAACTGAAATCGCCCTCAATATTTAAAAAAATGAAATAATTTCATGCTTTTTGTACAAGAAAAATACAATAACATGTAAAATTTGACAAGAAATATGTGTCAATGTCATTGGACATTGACAATTGTAGTTGCAGGTTATACGAAAAAGACAGATTATATTTGAAAATCGTTTTGACCAAAGAGATCCAAAAATATATTTCTTAAATGTCCTTAGTTGTGACAGATATTTTGTTCTGACAGATGTGGCTGTAGAATTAAAACTAAATGCCACCACGTAAAATAAAAAAAGTAAATTGAAAATATAACCTCAAATTAAATTTACAAATAGTTTAAAAAAAGCAAACAATAGTTTATTTTTTAAAATTCAGTCAAACTTCAAATTTTTTGGTGTTATTTCGTTTAGTCTTTTAGTTTGTATGTTAAACAAATGTAAATTTATGAAAGTTATCTGTAAGCAAGTTAATTCTTAATTGCTTGGATCATAATATTCTTTTAAACTAAAACTATGGAATCTATTTGGTTTAAGCCAGAGTTTTCGAATGAGATAATACAAAATCCGAATATTCTAGACCAAACACAAAATGTAATTACTGGTAAGTTGCTGTTATTTACATCGCAAATATACATCACATAGCATTGAAGAAACTACTTAAAGACATTCAACCTAGACCTTAATAGTATGTCCAATATACCATATTAGATAACATTTGGTTATCTATCTGTAGGTCACTTTAGGTCACGATTTATTTTTCTTCACAGACATCTAGTAAATATTGCTATCTATTAATAAAATTTGGTTTTTAATGTTATAATAAAATTCTTTACAGATATTATATCTGGACGGATTGAAATAACAACACTAGTTGAGAACATGGCCGGAGTACTAACAAACAAAGATGTTGATAAAAGAGATAAAGGGATGAGATTCTTTACTAAAATGTTAAAAGAATTGCCGCAGGACTATTTATCAGATATACAAATAAAATTTATATCCAAATTCTATGAGGATAGATTGAAAGATAATCATAAAATAATACCTACTGTTTTAGAAGGGTATTTAGCAGTGATTGACATGAAGAATTATAATATGCAGAACTGCGGAGAGTTCTTTACAACTTTGTTCCGTGAAGTACCTTGTCAGTCACAAGTACGGCAGGACAGACATCATATATATTTAATTGTGCAGAAATTACTTGATAAAGATGTTAACTGTAAGTAGAGATCTAAGGTACAACAAAATAGCAAGACTAAGGGTCTGTTCCACCAAATTGTAAATTGTCTGATAATGATCCTACAAGTAAAATATGTGATGGAAATATCGGATTTTGTTCCCTTATCTAAGTGACGTCATTTTAAAGCTATCTGAGGTCAGTGGTGGGACAGGCCCTAAATTGTGCAGTTTTCTAACCACATTTAGAGTGAATCTGTAAATGTATGAATGTGAATGATGCAAGAGTGGTTAGTCAGGGGTTTGCTAAATAGAAATCTTTTCCATGTCTAATTCTCGAGTAGACTCACATGAATATAAAGACTGATTTGTAAGAGTGATAGAACCTGTGTTATGTACAGTCACTGGTCCAGCAACACTGGCTCTTTTTCAGACTTTATGATTACATACTTTTCTTGACATATAATGATGTAATTTTTGTTACAATTGTTTTTTCATAACATTTCATTATAACTTAAATCTATGAACTATCGAAGCAAACAGTGATCCGGCTCGAAGGACCACTCTTTGAATTGGCGCGTACTGGTCATAAAACCTGCGGCCAGTGTTGCCCCAAGAGTCACTATAATTTTTATATCTTCTTTTACAGATATTAAATCGTTGGGACCAGATTTTGTGTATGGAGTAATATCATCTATTGAAGGGGAGAGAGATCCTCGTAATTTGTTGTTTCTATTTAATTTTATTCCTACCTTCCTGAATCGTGTACCTTTAGGTCATTTGACTGAAGAGATGTTTGATGTGATCTCTTGTTACTATCCAATTGATTTCCATCCATCACCAAATGATCCTGCCGCGGTTACAAGACAAGATCTGGCTGCAGCATTGATACCCTGCATGTGTGCGGTGCCGGAGTTCGCTGAACACTGTCTTGTGCTTCTCGTTGAGAAACTGGATTCCACTTTGAGGGTTGCCAAAATTGACTCATTGAAGTTACTGGTAAGTAGTTGGTGCAACATTTAAAGTAGCTAAAACCATTCATGTTATTGTCTTACTAAAATATTAACGCGAAGGTTCCGATGTTTTGAAGTGGTATTTCCAAAAAAATTTTAATAAATCTGGATGCAATTTTTTATATATGATTTACATAAAGAAGTTGATTTATTAAAATGGTAAATAATAGAGTTACATTTTTCTTTGCAGGCTGAAAGTTGTAAAACATTCAAACCAGAGAGTTATAAACCTTTTTTAAAGACTTTATGGTCTTCAATACATAGAGAGATCACTCATAAAACTGATAGTGATTTAAAAATGGCAGCTCATGAAGCATTATCAGGTCTAGTATCGAGATTAGCTACAACTGTAAACACGGATCAGGAATTCGAAAACTTTGTTAAGGCAATAATAATATCTATTCAAACAGCATTAGCTAGTTCCTCAACTGTATCACAATTTTCTCAATCAAGTAAAATATTATTAACCACAGCAAATGCGTCTATGGAATCTTGTTTTTTAGTAACTAAATGTATGGTGCCAGCAATTGCAGCTTATTACGAATTTAAAACATCATCAAAACTACAAATCGCTAGTATAGAGTTTCTTGGAGATCTCTACGATATAGCTAAACATTGGAATATGTTGAAAGAATTAGATGAAAAAATCGATGAAATTCTTCAGCTCTGTTTATTAGCTGTTAGTCAAACTTCCAGCGATTACCAAATAGCTGGTTTTAGAACTATGATAAAAATGGCCGATGTACTAAAATCGAATTTAATTCTACCATTTGTTGAAGTACTGACTTATAATGTGCAGCATTCACAAGATAGTGAATTATTAAAAATAAGTGTTGAAGCGATACATGCTATCGCTAGATACAATCCTGAAATAATAATGAATTTAGTTGTGAAAGGTAAATGTGAATTAGACAATTTGATGGAGGATAAAACAAATTTTCAAAAGCGTTTAAATTTATTATCAAATTTAGCGAGTATAGATGTTTTTACTACATTAATAGTTGAAGAGATGTTAAAAATAATTACTGATGATCGAGATAGTGCACCTAAAGTGGTTGAAGCATTGAATGAATCGATGTCAGATACAACTTTGTATACAGACGAAAAGATAACAGAAATAGAAAGTGATCATGGTTTAACAGATTCAGTTATAAATTGGTTATTAAGAGAAATTAAATTGGGAACTTGTGAAGAGACTTACAACCATGGATTCATGTTAATATCGAATACAATAAGCAGTTTACCAGAAGACAAACAGCAGATAATAATATCGAAATATACAAACGAATTGTTAGACGAATGTAAGACGAATGATATGAATTTCTTGATAATTGAAAGTCTATATTTATCTATACATGAAAATTATTATGATGTGGTTATAAAAGATATAATGACGTTAGCTTTGAGGTTATCTTTGAATAGTGAAATTGATACAGTTAGGATGAAAGCGTGTGTGTTGGTGGGACATTTCTTGAATAAAGCGGATCATGGACAGAAATTCGATTTGTTATATGAATTATTGAAGGATTATTTGTCGTCGTGTAGAAGAGATGATTTATCTTTATGTCCAAGATTAATACAGTTATATGCGTGGATTACAAAAGCTTTAGTAATGAGAAGCAGTGGGCAGTTTCTATTTTGGTTGGAAAAGGTAAATTTTTGATACTATAAACATACCAGCGTTACGACTTCGTCAGCGTAGAATTAGAGTAGCCTAAAACATTCCCACATATTCCTTCCAGTTAATCTCAAAACAAAATTATCTCATTCGTTCCGAAGATTATCCGATGCAAATATGCTATTGCTGACATCCAGATTTTTTTTTATACTTTTTTGAAAAGTCTGTTACAAGTACAGATGTAACATACTGCGATACTAGCGCCACTCGTCTAAGTTTTGCGATACAATGACCAGACAAGTTTGTATGACTATTTTTTGTTTCAGATTCTAGTTTCCATAACTAGTGAGGATTATGCTAAAGAAGGCGCTGAAGCTATTCGCTTAATAGTGTCAGATTTTCAGGAATATTTGAGCAGACGGCAACACTGTAGAATAACTCCTTTCTACAAACAGAGAATATTCCAATCGTTTTCAAATTTAACGGCGAAACTTGATTTATTAAATTCAGAAGTAAAGGAGTATTATTTATTGAGTTGGGCGTACATTTTAGCGAAAACGCCGAAAAGTGTTCTTAACAATCATCCTAATAGAGTAAGCAGTTTGTATTTTTATTATTTTCAATCGTCAACGGTCGCATACTAATACGTAATTTAAAAACATATTATTTTAAATATTAAAGCCTCACTTAGATCCCAAATTCTATTTTAATTTTGACGTCTGTCAGATTGTAAACGCTTACGAAATGTAGTGTTTGAGATTTTTTTAGAATGTGCCTTTGGATTAATCGAAAATCAGTTAAAAAACTTATATTAACATTAACAGAAGTCAAGTATTGTCCTTTTTATAGAGCCTCTGCCGCCCCTTCGTTCTCCCCTTGGCGTAGTGAATCCAAAGACATTGTTTACTTTTTTTTACAATCAATAACAATATTATACTTATAGCTACATAAAAGTGAACTATTGGTTCTCTAACCTTATTTAAGTTAAGAGATCGAATTAACTGTTAGTTTTAATGTATTTCAGGTCTCGTGTTTAGTTATTGACGGATTAGAGTATGACAATAAGGATTTGCTGGTAGTGATGCTGGACGTGCTGTGTCACTTCGTGCAAGCGAAACACGGCGTAGTGGCCGACAGCTTACAGACTATATTGCCTCGGCTGATTAAACTGTCCACGTATGTCAAATCTATGGTGAGTTTGTAATAATAATTGTTTTTAACCGACTAATAAATGATTTGTATGTATGTGTGTATGTTTGTTTGTGGTGTAAAATAGTAATTTTGAGTCAGGTGTTTTTCTATTTTTATGAAAATGCAATATAAAATTTGTAACAATTAAAGCCATAAAGGCCTTTGTATATAAGCCATTTTTAAATATTTGCATGAGAAGTTTTTAAATATTCTACGTAGTTATGGTCTACAATCACATTTATTGATTGTTTTTTTTTTATTTACAAGTAAATCTTTAAAATATTTTCTTTTAATAAGTTTAGGTAAACAGACTTAGGGCCTGTCCCACCAGTGGCTGATAGAGGCTCAGATAGCTTAAAAGTGACGTCACTGTCAGATAAGGAAACAAAATCCCACATTTCAATAACATATTTCACACGTTGGATTGTTATCAGACAGATTACATTTTGGTGGGACAGGCCCATACTTACTCATTTTGTGTTACAATTTCAGGATGTTAGAATAAAGAGTTTACAAAATCTATTCGAAATCGCTAAAGGGTATCCGACATCGGTACTTTTACCTTATAAACAGGATGTGTTACTTGAAATAGCGCCATCTCTTGACGACAAGAAGCGATTGGTACGCAATATGGCGGTTCAAGCGCGTACTAGATGGTTTCTGGTCGGCGCTCCTGGAGAAAATAAAGATAATTAACTATGTGATATCACACAAACATTTCGGTGTTTCCCGTTGGGGATTGGCCTTAGGTCGGCTCAAAGGGAAAAATCCCATTGATATAGCAAATCGGTCGGACACTTCGGAAAACATCTTATTATTTGGTTTAAAATGTTTTTGTATCCAATTAAATTTCACAAGTATAGAAAATACCAAACTGTTGACAACCAAAAAGAAATTAAAGACCTATGACGTCACTAATCGATGTTTCATTGAGTTCTAAAGACCATTAATTGGATACATTAATTACTTTTAAATAGATCTGTTAATTTTGGCTATTATTTTTATTGTTTAGTGCGTATTAGGCATTTATTTTTAAACACTAATAAAATGTTAATGTTGGCACTTTCCATACGTAATAAATGTAATTTTAAAATATAAATTCCTGTATGTATTTATTGTATTGAAAAATTAAAATATTCCCAATTATTTTCGATCTAATAGAAAATAAAAAAAATGTACAGAAAAATAGAAAGGTTTGTTTAACTGTAATTTTAAAGTTGGACTATTTATTTATATTTTATTACATAAATAAAATGAATTTGTTAAATGATGTTTTTATTTTCATACCTTGACTTATAGTAAATTAACTGTCATGAATTAAATGTTTAATGGTAAGCGAATTAAATTCCTTAACTGTGACGACTGTTTTCTCAGTTTCAATTTATTACAGACGTAACCATCTCTATCAGCGCTCTGATATCAATTTACCTAATCTATTATTCTGTCTCCACTCCTTTACTAATGAACTCTTCGAATCTTGAATTTAAATAATTTTATAGATATTTTACTCTGTTCGTGTTTCAATCTTCACTTCTATACTAATAGAATAAAGCGTAAACACACACTACTTCGTGGCGTAATAAGTCAGGAATCACAGCATATTCTCGAATAATTATTTCTTTGATAAAAAGCCCTACACTTTCGGTATGCTTTAGGCTTACTTTCACGCTATAAACTTAGGAGGTAAATAAATTAAAAAAAAAGTTGGTGGAGGAAAGGTGCCATAAACTTAAACATTCCACCTTCAAGGAAGCAAGGTTGTCATGGTTGTCATTTGCGCATTTGAATCTTGACATTTGCAATTTCCTGCGGATGAAGCCGCATGGGAACAGCTAATTTGTTAATAATTAGATTTATTTTAAAAAGCCATTTAAAATATTTGAATCCCGTGCTTAAAAAAAGTAACTTATGCTGCATCTTTTTTATATCACTAGAATTAGATTGATAGAAGTAAAATCGAATTAGGAATGTCTAAAATTTGTTTTGTTATTTTAATTATCGTTACTGACGTTACCTTTTTTTTGGTAACGGGGGGGAAATATACCTAAGAACTTGTTGATAGATATAGCTTTTAATAATTTAAACTTAACAAATGAAAATCACTAAAATAATAATTGAATATTTTTCTTGGAAGTATTCGTTAACTCTCTTACCCTTTTTTCATTAACTTGTATTTTAGTGAATCGAGTAATTAAAATCGGCACATTAAGTGAATCTCAATTAAAAATTAAAGCCCCGTAAACTTTTACTGCTTCAATACTAGATTAGAGAATTTATATTCAAAACGGGGCAGCGGCGTAAAACCCGAAAGTGTATCCCCAGACAGTTAATTCTGCGAAATTAAGCGTGCGTCCTTCTCGAGGATTAGAAAAGCAAATCCTATTCTGTCCAGTGGGTGTTTCAATTAAAATTTGCATAACTATCTTCGGAACGAACGGAGATTAATTACTATAAAGTATATAATCTCTTTGTCATTTTAATGTTCGGTAAATAGTTAATACATCCGCCTTTGCAAATATATACCATTTCTGAAGACTCACAGCGTTAAGATAGGGCAAGGTTCTGTAAGCGCTAAGAGCGTTGGACAGTAAGGACAGCTTCGATTTACACAGTCACGTAACCTTGGTAACTTTCCCAAAGGCATGGTTAAAGAGAAGTCGTTGTAGACAATTCCCGCAAGGCGCTGGTAGCGCTCAATATTACACACAATATAACAAATAAAAAAGATCTTATTCTTTTTGTTTATAATAGTGTCCAGTGGAACGATTAGCTACAAAGCTTTGAATTATCAAAGACGAATAGTAACAACGCATATTTATTAATAGTAAAACCCTTAGTTATTTTATTTAAGAAAGAAAATAGTTACCGTAATAATTGATATCCCATCAATGATAATATCCTTGTTACGCAGTATAACGATGGATTAATCTGGGAGATTACCGTAATACCTCTTTACGAATGTTTCATTTAATATCGTTTACTATTAAGAGGTATTAAGACAAGAACATGATTATAATTGAGATAGAAACGCATTTGTTTTTGGTGTATATTTACTCTTAAGGACCTCTAACCAAGGTTGTAGGTAGAATCGAATTTGAAATAGGACACCAATGTTCACAGGAAGGAACGCAAAATTATAATAGGTGCCCTCGAAACACGCGCAACAGGTAAGCTAAATTTAGGATTCCCTGTCACTAACTACAAACTTTTTTCTCAAACTAAGAACAAGCAATTTAACTATAGTTAATCTTAGTTTTGGTAGAGCATTGTGATGCGTATTTTTAGGTTATATTTTCACAGGCATCTGTAACTCTGTGGAAATATAACCTAAAACTATAGAGATTGTAATAGAGAAATGATATCTGCAGCTAACACATGTAACATTAGAGAAAAACTAATTGAATATGTTTCGGAGTACGACTCGGATCGAATTTCCTGTGAATAGACGTTAGCTATTAATTCCATTGTTGTAATAGTTCAGTCGGAGTTAATTATTAAAGTTTCAATTGAAACTACGCCAAGTTGAATGATACATCAGCTACGAAACTTGCCGGAGTTAAACGGCACGAATTATGAATGTGTCTGACGAAGTTGGCAGCTTATAATTTAATACTCATTGTACATTTTCGTTTTAGCTGCGTTCGAGTTATATTTTAAGGTTTTCAATTCGATTCGTCTATGTACTAACAAGCTTTCGCCCGCGACTCTGCGTGGAATTAAAAAAAAAAACAAAATTGAGTAGCCTATGTGTTTTTCCAGACTATCCTCTACATCTATACCAAATTTCATTGAAATCCGTTTAGCCGTTTAGGCTACAAACTATAACAAACATCCATCCATCCTTTCGCAGTTATAATATTAGTATAATTATGCTGAGATATACGATCCGATTTACGTGATTGTGCTTTACTTTAAGGAATAGTTGTTATTTGGTTGCATGCTTTTCAAAATTCAATCGATTAAAGTACTGTAACTCTTTTAATTTACTATTAAAATGCGATGGCATATATCTTCTATGCTATTCACACACACCTTTTTTTGTTTAAAAAATTCTAGATTGTTTAAAAAAATATCTAAATGCTAATGAGTTTGCATGACTTGATACACGTTCATTAAAAACCTTGTTAGCCTTCTGTTATTCGATGCCCTTCGCTTTGATCGCGGGGCAGCTACAGTTCACTGAGTTTGAAAGGACTTTTTTTCTTTTTAAAGTTTGTTATCATTATAATGAATTAATCCGAATATTAAACAATGATCAAAGAATTAATTAAAAACTACAATATTAATGTCAGTTCAATTGTTTTCATAGGGTTATATGCGATAAATTGACTTCCACATTGGCCTAGTATATTATTGAGTAAGTTGTTTTGGTAACATGTATTTCTTTGCATAAAGATTACTATTTTTTGTATGATTTTTATTTAAAAGTAAGTTTTCAACTTTCAGTGGTAGAGCCCGCTTTAACTGTACTGCAGGGCCGGCTCGCCCCCAGTAATACTACGACCACACAGAAGACAGGCGTGAAGTGGGAGCAATTCCGCGTTTAGGGTAGGCAATGCAGAGCAATTGCGGATGTCTATGAGCAGCGGTCGCTTCCTTATTACGGCGGTTACAGGTGGCCGCTTGCTTTGCTACCTTATAATGTAAAAAAATGAATTTAACATACTCGTATAAACAATATTTCTGTTCGGTGCTCGTTTTAAAGCACTTATTTTCTGTCCTGAGCCTGCGAAATTTTCATTCTGCAACATTTATCCTGAATAAATGAGGCGCTTAAAAAGGTTTTCAGCTGAATTTACTTTCATAAATTGTAGGCAATTACAGTAAATAACACTTTGAGGTTTGCTACTCTGCATGACAAAATTTTGCCCTAAAATCTTTTTTACCTTTATGAAAATATGTTCATATTGTAGTCGAAATAATATTTTTAAAATGATGTTATTATTTACTTGACTGATATTACTTTTCACTAACATTTGCATGCGACTTTGATCGTACGGAATTAAAAAAAAAAACTTTGTATGTTCTTTTAGATTACGTTTTACATTTCAGACAAACTACATTGAGATCTGTTGTTACATATTTTAAAAATGTCGCTGGACCACACTTACGTCGCCAGAGACAGATACAAATAGAAATCTTTGGAGGAGACCTTCACCTGAAAATAAAATATTTAAATAACAAATTGAATATAATTAAGATTGAAAATTCATAAATATTAAAAAATAGTGTTTAGGACATGTTTGATTATTTGTTATAATTGTTTTAATTTGATATGACCAAAATTATTTTTCTAATCATAAATTCAATTTTTTAAAAACTTTTGTCAACTTTAAATTTCATGGAATACAAGTTTTTTTTTTTAATTTTTATTCATTACATACATTACTAGATGTTCTTGCAATTTTGTGAGTTAAATATAACCTATGTTATTTAGTGATAACGCTTTTAAATGGTGAAAGTATTTTAAAATCACTTTACATTCAAACTTTCGGATTTACAATATTAGTGTGAAGAACGAAAGAATGATAGAAAATGCATATATGCGCTGTCATGAGATTTTAGAAGTACAGCAAATACATTTGCATGGTCAGAATATAAATTAACAGAACTGGGGAATATAAATGAGCCCCGAGAGGGTTAATGCTCTCACTGTATGAATCACAATGAACACTAGTATTCAGAAAATTTATACATTCCATAAATAAACAGAACCATCTGTGTTGATTGATTACAAAACAAAAAGTACGTGAGTAGAATAAGAACCGATGTCAAAAAATAAACCAGATTTCACTGAAATATCATTTGCTTATGCAGGTAACACACGTTAGGTTGTCTGACAGTTTTACTTACATACTTAGAGCGTTACACCTGAAATTAAATCTCCACCACTATTTAGTCTCGATTTGATTCCTATGAGCTTAGATGGAGGTGCACACTACTCTATTTTTAGTTGTGCAACTAAACAGTTGAATCGGATGCGAAACAATCGACAATCGCACTACAGTTGTGCGATAGTTTATTCAAAGGTGTGCGCCTACTCTTAACTTACAAGCAAACCTTTTTGTGTGTCAAAACTCTACATTTATTATTACTAGCTGTTCCCGAGCGACTTCATCCACATGAAATTATGAAAATTATATTTTATTGTTTACATGTGTCAAATTGTAATTGATAATTTGTGAAAATGTCAAAATGACATGACGATGAC